CCATCCTTGGTGTGTTAAGGGAAATATGGGAGAAAGAAGACAAGTTCTTCTCAGACTGCTTGCTGTTTTTGTGAATTTTTGCATTCGTCCTCACATTATCGATCCCCATCCCGCGCAAATACAGCTCCATATGTTCGACCAAAGAACGTCTAAAAATTGTCTAAATCTGGCAATCCAAGTACCGTGTAAAAGAGCACGTTTCATGTCCATGTTAGGAAAATGTTGACAAAAAAGGCAAACCTTCTTGTCCCACTGCTTGTAATTTTTTTTCAATTCTCTCTTTGTCTGCATTTTAACACTCCCCTTTCCAGGCAAAGATGTCTCAAGATATTTGAGCATAAAAGTCTGAGAATCCTCCAAATCTGGCAATTCTAGCACTTTTTGACAGAGAGTAAGTTCCACTTTCTGTTGAAGGAATTTTCATTAAAGCTCCTAACATAATTTAAAGCTCCTAACATCTATTTCAAGATCTGAAATCGTAAGTAGTCCAAGTTTCAAATTGTGCAGTTATATAGGAATTTGGTAATTTAGTTATTTTGATTGTTTGTCATTTTGCTAAATGACTCTATAATTCTGAATTCGTTCACCTATCTCAATTGCTGCACACCCATGTTTAGGCTATTCCCGTCTGAATTCCAACATAAGTAGAGATCCAAGAATCAAACCTTTTAAGAGAAATCAGTTACTCAATAGTCCAAGACTCAAATCGTGCAGAAATTTTGAAATTTGGATGTTTAGTTACACTGGTACTGAATCTTTTCGCAGCCCTACCCTTAACTTTGGAAATTCGTACATATTTGACCCTACTGCATTCGCTGCATTCCGATGTATTTCCGCCTGAATTCCAACATAACCACAGCTCCAAAAATCTAAATATTTCAAGAAATCGATTCCGGAATTGTCCAAGACTGAAATCGTACAGGTATTTAGAAATTTGGCTATTTACTTAAAACAAATATAAAGTCTTTTCGTATCCCTACCCTCAACTTCGTACATGTTATTTTGACCCCACCGCATTCAGTGCATTAGGATTTTTCCCCCAATGAATACAAACATTAACATAAGATGGTTCCATATAGTGCAACATGAAAGACCTGACATTGTCCAAATCTGGCAATCTTGGTTTCATCTGAAAGGGAAAATATCCCTCTATCCATTGATGTAAGTTTCATATCCATATTTGTTGTAGTTGAAGAAATATCTGCAAAAGAATTTGGGAGATTTTGTCCAACTGCTCCCTGCAGTAATTCTGACTTTGAAGTGCAATTCTCCATATATTTTAGCATCAAAGGTCTAAAACATATCTAAATCTGGCAATCGTGGTGTCATCTAAAAGGGCACATGTTCCTTTATCCATTCATGTAAGTTTCATATCCATATTTGCTATACTTAGGGAAATATTTGCACAATGATGTTCGAGTTCTTGCCCAACTGCCCTCTATTTTTGCAGGATTCTTGTTTCGTCTGCGCTATACCGGTCCTCATCCCGCACGGAGAATGCTTCATATGTCCGAGCATAAAATGTCTTAAAATTATCTAAATCTGGCAATCGTTGTGTCATCTTGAAGGGCACATGATCCACTATCTATTCATATACGTTTCATATTTATATTTGCAGTAGTTAGGGAAATACCTGCCAAAGGAAGTGCGACTTCTTTTCCAACTGCCTCCTATTTTTGCGGAATTCCGTCTTTGTCTGCGCTATACCGGTCCTGTTCCCGGACAGTGAAGGCTTCATGTAATTGAGCGTGAATGATCCAAGAATTTTCTAAAAATTGTAATCTTGGTGTCATCCGAAAGGAAACATGTTCCTTTGTCTATAATATAAGTTTTATATCCATATTTGCAGTAGTTACGGTAATATCTGCCAAACGAAGTGCAAGTTCTTTTCCAACTGCCTCCTATTTTTGCGGAATTCTGGCTTCGTCTGCGCTATACCGGTCCTTTTGCTACGCAGCGAATACTTCATATGTTTGAGCATAAAAGGTCTTAAAAATATCTAAATCTGGCACTCTTGGTGTTATCTGACAGGCCATGTGTTCTTCTATCCATTCATATAAGTTTCATATGTATATTTGCAGTAGTTAGGGAAATAACTGCCAAGGACGTGCGAGTTCTAGACCAACTGCCTCTCATTTTTACGGAATTCTATCTTCGTCTGCGCTATACCGGTTCTTATCCTGCACAGTGAATGCTTCATATAATCGAGCATGAAAGATCTAAGAATTATCTAAAAATTGTAATCTTAGTGTCATCCGAAAGGACACATGTTCCTGTATCTATTCATATACGTTTCATATCCATATTTTCTGTAGTTAGGGAAAAAGCTGCTAAATGAAGTGCGAATTCCTGTCCAATTCCTCACTCTTTTTGCAAAATTCTGGCTTATTTTGCGTTTTACCGGTCATGTTCCCGCACAGTGAATGCTTCATATATTCGACGATAAACTGTCTAAGAATTATCTAAAAATTGTAATCTTGGTGTCTTTTGAAAGGACACCTGTTCCCATATCCATTCATATACGTTTCACATTCATATTAGTAGTAGTTAGGGAAATATCTGCAAAAGGAAATGCCAGTTCTTTTCCAACTGCCACCTATTTTTGCGAAATTCTGGCTCCTTCTGCATTATACCGGTCCTTATGCTGCGCAGCGAATGTTTCATATATTCGAGCATAAAAGGTCTTAAAATTTTCTAAATCTAGCAATCTTGGTGTCATCTTAAAGGGCCCCTATCTATTGATATAAGTTTCATATTTATATTTGCACAAGCCCACCCTAGAGCAGTAACTTAAAAACCCATAACCTGACAGTAACACTTAAAAAGACCAAAGACTAAAAACCAAAACAACACAGTGTATAAAATGAACCTCAGAATACACTGAGCCTTCAATCACTAACTCTAGCAGACAGGACTCAAGCAAAAGACCAGTCCAATTGAGGTACAATACTTGTAAGTTGACTTGTCTCTACATGTATGTGTATCCGCTGATCTGCTAGTGCTACACTGAGTGTGGCCAGACTGTGTGGGAGCTTGTTTTCAGTTTAGGAGTACGGTAAAGGATACAGAGGTACCCACAGTCCACTAGACTGGCCCAATTACAGTTGTGTCCTCTAAAGTGCCACTCAAAACCTTTCCTTGACTTTTATCCTCATGGAACATTGCCAAAATCTCTTTGCTGAAAACTTTAAATTCGTTCTGTTAAATAATGAAATTATAACCTTCAAATTAAAACACATGCTACTGCTGATCACCTCTGTGAACAATTTCGGTGTCATGAAATTTGATAGCCTGAAATTAATGACAACATCCAGAAATTGCACAATTTCAGCCGAGTTTTCCCTAAGTCCTAACGTGGGCCGTGCACAGGAACAAATCTCTCAAAATCCCACATCCATGGCATGCGTACGGCACAGGCCAGGGATGGTGGTATTCAAATGAAACATATTCAGCTTTAATAGTTTGATGGTTCGAATATGCTCGTTCAGATTAGAGCCTGAAAAATACTGAGCATTAGAACTAAAAATGTCTCCTTATTTAGCACACCAAAAATGAAGTTACCTTTGGATTGCTTGCTCCAGCTCCACCCACACGTGGGCATCATCACACCAATGCCAGCGGTCAACAATGTCAGTTACAGCGCCCCCTATAGTAACATTGGACTAAACGCACTACGCTTCAGCTCAACATTTTGTGGACCCAGTGGAAAGATACATGTGCGTCATAGTCGGGACTGATCATAGAAACGATTATACATGTATAAACCACCGTGACGAATTTGGGACAAGTAGCTTCCAACTCAGGGAAGTCATGTTGCGCACAAAAGTAGATTACTGCTTAAGAATAATAACCTTATGAATTCAGGATTGTGGAAACTAATTTGATCTGTTTTATTGCGAGGCTTTTACAGACAGACTACCATAAAGCCAAACCGTAATAAATAGGCCTATAACGTTTATCTACGTACAAGACTGCTGCAGTAGACTGTTCTTTAGGTTTTTGGAAGTGATGGGTCAGTTTCTGACAGGAGATTACTCTTTTAGGTCAGGTAATTCTTCAGTTTCTATTAAATGTATAAAAACCCATATAAAATCAACCGTGGCCTCCCGCAACATTCTGTTTGCAACAAGTGCCAGGATAAAATGTGGTCCTGATTTCGTCTCGTGTAGGTCAAATGACATAACCATTCCTTCAGGTTTTAATCGGAAGTAGGCTGATTGTTTGAAAGTTTTTTCAACATAATGCGTCTGTCGGTGTTAGTACTGGGTTTGAAACCTTGCTTGTATCTTGGAGAGGAAGTGCTTTGCCAATATTGAGCTCATTTCGTGATAACGCCATAAATAATTGCTTTTTTTCGGAACGGACATTATCGGCGTTATCAACATGTCAGATGTTGTTAATTCTGCCTGGATTCTACTTTTGCGTTGA